CTACCCTCTGTGCTGTTTATCCTGCAAAAGGCACCTGGGCCGGGAGGAAAGTCACATTTGAGGGGTGCACTCGGGCGGGGGGCGGGGGGCCCCTCTTCTGGGACTCCCTGGCCCCTGCTGGCACTCCTCTGGAGCGCCCTGTGCATCTGCCAGCGCGTGGCCAAGCCTGTCTCGCCCGGGGCGGGCACTGCCACCCTGTGTGCAGTTTCCCGTCCCCCACTGCCGTTTGCTTCTGACCCCCGAGGCACCACATTCGGGGGGCCCCGCCCTCTGCAGGCCTCTGCTGATTACTCGTCCTCTGAACAGGGCGAGTCTCCCTCCAGCCAAGGCGGGGAGGGGCGCGGGCTGGCGCAGCGCTCAGAGGCCGAGAGCCAGGGGGCCTCGGCACCTCTCTGCCCGCAGCGCCCCTGGGCAGCGCGGACGTCCTCTGCCCTGCCCCCACCTGCGCGGAGCTGAGCTGGGAAACGGCTGAGGGGGTCAGAGCGGGCAGGAGCCCTTCTTAGTGGCTCTCTCAAGGCCAGCCCTGCACGCAGATTGCCCAGGGTGTTCGTTTCCCATGCCACCCTCCCACCCCCCGCACCTGCACCTGCGCCTGCGCGTGCACCTGGGCCTGCGCGTGCACCTGGGCCTGCGCGTGCACCTGCGCCTGCGCCTGCGCCTGCACCCAAATTCCCGCAGCACTTTTGAACCTTGCGGCCCAAATTTCGACACTGAAGTTACCTTTTGTTATGTTCCCTAATTGTTCCCTGTAGCGCATCACTCGGGTCGCCCTGGTTAAAACACTGCCAGAGACGTTTACGGAATCGAACTGAAACGGCTCGCGCAGTCGTCCAAAGCCCCCTGGGCGCTGGCGGCGCTGACTCCTCCCCACGGCGGCGAGAGACGCCGGCCACGGCTGCTAGACCCGCTCCGACCGCCAGAGGGCGCGTCTCCCCGGGTTTCCCGAGCGGGCCGTCCGGGCCGAGCGAACGAGCGGTGACGTATTTAGAGCCTCTGCGGCTGCCGTAGCCGGGGCAGTAAACAGGAAGCGGCGCTCGGGCCGGGACTCGGAGTTCGGGGCAAAGCAGCCCGGGGTCCCCGCGGGGCGCGTCTCGCCGCCGGTGCTCGTCCCCACTCGCGTGCCTCTGCCGGCCGTTCGCGCTCC